TACATGAAGACATTACGATTACTTATAGTTATAATGATTAAATTCCCTTTACGTTTCAACATAATTAAAATTAAAATCCCATTTAAAATAGTTTACCTTGTTTTAATACTGGCTTTTGTTTGTAACAGTAACATGTTAAAATATACTAGGATTGATAATAATCAGTAGTAAATAACAAACATAACATGTATAACTAAATATACAAACAACTTTTTTAATAATAAGTTTACATTTAAGCGAGAAAATAAATTACAACATAGTGAATATAAGATAAGGTTGATGAAATGAACTGGTTTAATGATTCTCTATACAAAATGAATATCGATTTAAGTGTAAAGTTAGTTAGGATCTTTTATAACATTTAATAATTATATATAAATATATCCGTATAGTTAAACTTATATCAGTAATACAAAATAACTATGATATAGATTATTAAAAGTATTGCTTTAATTAAAGATGCAAAGTACAATAGATAATTTAGTGTTTAAACTTTGGTTAGTTTCAACTCCTTCCAAAAAACCGAATGTCAAGTAATTTTATGAGAAGACGTTTTGTGGAGATTATAGTAATTTTAATAGTTGAGATCAAGAGTCATTTGAAGCTAGACCACCATGAACGGTCATTTAGTCCTATTATGGGATTCCTCAACAATGCGCATCCACGATCCTTCCTCGCGAGATTCGAACCCAGGACATATCGGTCTCGGAATATTACTTAAAAATTAAATATTTGTTAACTACTGGTGTGAAATAATCAAGATTTATATCATTCACAATAGCTCATTATTAATTAATCACTGTTTATTTTATCTATTTCTCAATTATTTTTCATATCAATCAAAAAACAGAATAAAAGTCTCATAGTATGTTATAACGCGTTTGGTCAATGCCATTACTCAGTTTATATTTTTCGGTATACAGATGTTATATAGTTTTGATGATCTAATAAATAACCCATTTTAAATGAGTTGATTGAGTTGTTATTCTGTTATACACCTTAAAGGGAAAGATTCTGACTAACTTGAAATTCGTTATGTCCTTTCTAACAAGAACTGTCTGTTTTTCTTTGTAAAAGTCACTCAATTTCGTGGATTAGTTGAAGCTAGACATTAACACCGTTGGATGCCGAATCAGTGGTCTACAGGTTATGCGTTCGCGCGCAAGACTGAAGGTCCTGAGTTTGAATCTCGCGAGGCGTGATCGTGGATGCGCATTGCTGAGGAGTCCCACAATAGAACGAAAAGACCGTCCAGTGCTTCCAGGTTTTCCACAGTGGTCTGTCTTCAAATGATTCGTGATTTCAATGATTCAAAATACCATATTCTCCACAAAATCATTTCTTATATTGTTCTATTGTTTTTGTTAGGGACTGATCAGTCTTTGACATATTTGCATCAAAATTGGATTGTCCCAGTAATGTCACTTACTCTAAAGTTGTATTGGAGCTGTTACTCCAACTCAGTATGTGAGTTTCTAGTTGGCTATATATGTACCTGTATTCTAGTGCTGATGTTCACATAGTAATCTAGTACCTTTCGCTTCAAACACCATTTTGTTATTCAGTGAGGTAATAAAAATTAACGCTGCTGTCAGGTAAATCCAAATGCCGAATTGTATATAGGACAAAATAAACATCTAGTACCCGACCACTAACTACAATCGAAGGTTTCCAAAGATTTTCTCCTGTTTAAATTTATATCAAGAATTTCACTGAGTTACTATTGAGACGAATTCGAATGGTGAATATAGTCGTGACTTGTAACACCCTCTGATACTTCAAAACACAATGGAAACTGAGATAAAGTATACAAATAAAATGTCTTTCAGTATATGATTTCGAATAAGTGTTTTAGGTTCTAGTAATATTTAAACCGTGTTTTAAAAAACAATGAAATTCGTAGCATATTCAATCCCTGAAACAAAGTTTTGACATATTAAACAAAAATTCAGTGTTCTTTGTCAAGCCCACGCTAATTATGACACATGCAGCGAAGTTACTGAGATTGCTAATATTCGATTCGTCCACACAATGTATTAACCTGTTCCCCTAAATACCAATCAGAACACTGAAAATGCAACCATGTACTTTACATAATAGTGGATTTGAAACTCGTATCATTATGTGCTTGTAACTCAAGTTCACAACTCACCAAAAATCATCATCTACACATAATTAGTACCTTCATTGTGCAGCCTGAGTAACAAATCTATGAAAAATTAATAAAAATTTACGAACACAAAAATATATAGAATAAGCTGTCGCGTAGGAAATTTTGATCAATATCAAAATACTATAAATCAATTATATAATTAATACATATTAAAAATATATACATTGATTCACATGAAATTAGCTACCAGAGCTTATCATTTCCATTTATTCAACCATTCATACCATCTTCGTCTACAGGTTTTCATAAATTTCCTTGTAAATGTGATTATGATATCATCTCTGTTATTTATGTTTGTATACCCATAAATCATTTGACACCAAGGGAAGTATGACATGATATCGCTTAAAACTAAGTAATTATAGGATATTACTTAATCAGATTAAATTAGTTAAAATTTGCTTGGCTAACTGGTAATAATAATTACACAACATTACCCTTTAGATATTTAACAAGAGAAGAAATTTCTTTTCAATTAGTTTTTCATCATATATATATATATATATATATATATATATATATATATATATATATACCGGAAAGGGTTTTGTGGATATTACAGGGATTTTAATAGTTAAGATCATCATTCAATTGAAGCTAGACCACTATGAAAAATCTGGAAGCCCTGGACTACCGTTTCGTCGCCGTTTTAATATACTTACAGATCAATGTTTTTTTCATACTGTTGTGCTAAAACGGTTACATGTAAAAACCAATATTCAACGGATCAATGAGATACTTGATTTTTAAAGTTAAGTGATAATCAACAGTTCATCTTGGTATTTTACATGCAAAGGATCATTGGAAAAACAGTCTGGAATAAATAATTTTCTTTTTTAGATGAATTTTTCATCAAATTAATTAGTTATCGACTAGTCTTTTTCTCCTTATACTAATTCTTATTTTAAAACTGGTCACTCACAAATTATTCCTGAGAGAGTGGTAGAGAGCTAGACATAAAAATATAGTATGAAAATAACAAATGAAATCGGGGATTGAGATGCATGTGATAATTTCAAGATTTGACATTAAGTAAAAAAAAATGAAGTATTATGGTGTTTTCGTAAATAAAGCACATGAGACATACGATTCGTGGTGTTAAACAAAAGAAAGTAATTATCATGGTGGTCACAACCGAGATAACAGAATCCCAGCCTGTTTAAATAATTCACGAATCGGTGATACTTATTTGTCTGGTTACATTTAGCGTTCTTCATGGCTACTCCTACATAAACTTGTGTTGTGCACCGCAATTCGGATTGACTAAACACACATACCACACGTCACAACCACTTCATACATTCATCAACCGATTTACGATTTCTACATAACACCACACATCTAATATAAGCATTACTCATGCTTGCTGAGCAATATATTCCAACCTCATTGAGTAATCTGGTTAAATCGTAATAGATGTGTGACCAACGAGATTTAGTAGTGATTTATTTCCCACAACCAGAAATGTGAATATTTGTTTGGTACATCAACCAGTGTATCGTGCATCACATAGTATACTAATTTAAATAGAACCAAAGTTTATACTTTTTTGAAACGAACAACTTTTTAGTATGCTCTGAAATAAAGATTAGTAAGGACAAACATATTAGTTTTATATGGAAGGTGTAGTATATGGAGATCAAATAAGAGTAATTACATTAAAGAATGATCTTAGATAAGTCGCCAATAGAAATCAAGAAGCAGTGGACACCAATTTCTTTCTAGTATGGGACTTTAAATAGTGCACATCCATAATCACGCTACCAGGGATCGAATTTCGAAGTAAACTCTGAGCCATGCTATGGTTGACATGTTTAACTTGAATCAATTCATAGGACAGTGCAATCATTTCCCAAAGTACCTGATGGATAACTGATCGACATTCAAGTTCACTGTTCACAGTTTAACACTGTTACTCCGTAATTACTACTCAAAGTCAGTCACTAGTGAGTAAACAATTAATTACTATTTAGATCTATGAAGGTCTCCATAAGCACGTATAGTGGATCAGTTTAATTACTAAAAGAAAATAAACTTGAAACTTCTCATCCATATATACGTCACATACAGATAAGTAGTTCTTTTACTATGTTAATATTGATGTAGATATGGTTCAAACAGTGAATTAACGCGACAAGGAAGTATCTCTCTAAGAGAGAATAATTTAATTAACTAAAATGAGCGAAATACTACAAAACTTGAAAATTATATTTTTGTGTATTTTATTTTTTGGAAATAATCATATTAAGCACGGACATATATATTACACCTTTATAAAAACTGCTTTAAATTGCAATCAACAAAGTAGAAATATATAATGAAGTGTTCTAATCATAAAACTTTACATCAACCCTGATCAACAGTCTGTTTAAACTCATATATCCTTTTATAAAAGGCAACAATAGTAACCAGATGAAAAATGATAACAAATTACTGTAATTAATCAGTAGACTATCAGTTTTTTCTTCAAAAATTTCATTTACTTATCAAAATAAAACCAGTATTCACTATTCAATTAGTTTAAGAGTTTAGTTTTGATCATTCAATTTATTCATTATGATTATTTTTAATATTCTCAAATAAATATGCACAAAAAAAGATCTTTAAAGCGTTAAATTTTATATTTCATTTACTTTTGTATATACATACTAATCATGTATATATTTATGAATAGAGTAGCTTTAATGCTAAAGTATGTGATCGTTATAATCAATATTTATGGATAAGTTGACCAATAGGAGACCAACTTACATTATATATATATATATATATATATATATATATATATATATATATATATATATATATATATATATATATGAAACACTGTTATTAGAACGCCTATTACACTGCACACTACAGAATTTTATCTGGCAGACATCCAATTACAATAATAATAATAAATAGAAAAATAAACACTATTAGTTATTTTTCTTTTAGCACAGTGATTGAATTCAATGCTTTGTGATTCGTAATCATTTCTAATAACAATACTTTTTTTTAAATTTGTTTGTAACTATGGAAAATGTTAATACTGATAAAATTCATGACAATGAATTGAAAATAACAACTACAAAACCTATTCATAACACTACAACTTTAATACAAGGTATCAGTGAGACAACAGAATATCACATCATTACTGATGCCTACTGGACTGAGGTTAGTTAATATCATTATTATTATTATTAAACGATATTTTATTTTATAATTTATTTATTTAAATATGATTGGTTTAATGAAATTAATTTGATATAAAGTAAATGTGATTCTCTTTGATTTACACAGTTTCTTGGACACGTTCATTATATCAAGCATGATGAAATTAATTCATTGTAATCATAAAGGTTAACAAAAATTGTAGTGGACATTTTAAGTTAGCTAATGTTTTCATAAACTTGAAAATATCTTCTTAATAGTTGATAAATTGGACGTTGAAATTTGTATCGAAAGGTGATCTTATGACTTATTTATATTATATATGAAGCTATAGAAAAAAAACACATTTGTCTACCATCAATGACAACCTGATTTTGGAAATTCAAATGTTTTCGGAGCTTTTTAAATATATACTTCACCACCTAAAACTGTATAACATGATTTCTTTTCTTTATATATATATATATATATATATATATATTTGAAGGGGTTTACGTAGTCGTTTGAAATCACTGTCATTTATCCAATACTGAAGTTTTTCTTGAAGCATCGGCTATATTCTATCTAAACATTAATAAACTTGACTGAATTAAACTGATTACTTTCACCCTACATTTTGATTTTTATAATTAAAAATATTTGAGTTATGAAAATGTTAGTCAATATTAAATATGTTTAATAATTTGACTTGAAATAATTTATGTGAATAGGTTTGGCGTTAAATAAAACATCAATTTTACGTGATTGATTCCTGTTATTGGAATTTGAACAAAGCCTACACAGTAATTGAGTCACCAGATTTGTTTTTCTTTTCGGAAATAAGTTCAGTTTACAATGTTTAGTTGTAAATTAATTTTATTTCTCAGTTTTTATGTGAATATGTTGAAAATTAAATAAAACTGTCATTTTTACTAAACCATTTCCTTCACTTTTCTTTTGTTAACTCATTTAATAAATATTAGACTCTGATATACTGGGATTTCTACAATTAAACTGTGAATTCTTCCCATCTAAGGAATCTATACCTCAAATTCACATACACTCGTCTCATTTAAATGTGTACTAAATGAAGATGGATAGTGGCTAGCAGTGGAATACAGGATGCACGTTTCATCCTATTTGGAGCTCGTCAGCTGGATGTACCTGCATCCCAGAGTTGATGTTCGCTCCGGGACCCCAACCCAATACCGTCCGCTTCAAACGGCATCTCGTTATACACTTAGCTACTGAGTCCTGATAGCCACCTGCTTGTGCAATTGGGTGAAGTTAAAATTCACTTATTGTTTTATTTGTATTTTCCCATTGTTATTTAGGACTGCAATCGATCAGTCACTTATTGGCATATGTGCAACCTGTGAGGATTGCCTCGATGTAGCCTTAAGTCACAAGCTTTTTAAGTGAATATGGGTAGTGGCTAGCACTGGAATCTAGGACGCGCGTTTTGTCCTATTTGGAACTCGTCAGATGGATGTACCTGCTGATCAACTGCAGTCCTAAATAACAATGAGAATATACAAGTAAAGCAACACCAAGTGAATGTACTAAATGAAGTTTGTTAAGCACTTATTGACCGACTTCATAGCGTGTAGATAGTTTTAACCAGTATAACAGCTATTCAGCTTCATTTTTTTAAAATGTTCAATGTTTTAAAATAAACTTTTTTTGTGAATATTAACTATTTGAAGAACCACAAAAAATTGATGAAAACTAAATGGCCCATTCATCTGAGTTCTAAACTGTAAAAGTTTGTATTCATGATCTCTTATAGCATTTGCGCATAGTATAGAAAAATATCTTCTTTCATTTGGTTGTTTTATGAATAAGTCAGTGATCTGTCAATTATTGTTAAGGTGGCTATACTCATGTGTTATCCGGTCAAATTTCTACTTCACGATCTATTGCTTCTAAGCATTATCTTGTGATATCAGGTCTATAGTTATGTATTTCTCTACCGTACATGTTCATCTACAAAGAGGCTATTCATTTAGATTCACTGTTATGAATGATATTTCATAGCACAAAAGCAATTTTAAAAAATTTCAAAGCAATTTAAGTCATTCTCTAAATAATCCAGTGATAATACCTTTGATAGTGGATCTTTGTATAAGTGTAGTTACCCTTTGCATCCTAGATACACCTTGTTGTTGTATACAAATAAACAGTCAATCTAGATACAGTCTTCTCGCATGTTTCGTTCTGCTTGTTTTACAATAATTAAAACGTATACAGAAACTCAAGAATTTAGAAAGTAACAAATGTATGAAACCTTGACTGCAATAAGTAAAAGTGAATATTGAAAATATTAAATTAAATTTTATGAACGGAAATTCATATTTTCGAAATTAAAAAAAACTATATCGTTCTATTGATACTTACTTACCTTAACAAGTTGAGAAAAATTAGTGTTGATTTAAGCGAGTTAAATATTTTAATAAAATTGAATACAAGGAAATCACCAGTAATAACTTATTTGCATAAAGCAATTTTGGGGGGCGGGGGAGATAGTGCAATTTTTTACTCAAAAGATGTTTAGTTAAGATGACGTAGTGTTACGTCACCTTAAATAAAAATATTTCATCGTAAGTAAAGATGGATAGTGGCTGGCAGTGGAATACAGGATGCACGTTTCATCCTATTTGGAACTCGTCAGCTGGATGTACCTGCATCTCAAAGTTAATGTTCACTCTGTAACTCTGATCCAGTACCGTTCGCCTCAAACGCCATCGCGCCATCGGAGACTATAATTTATGAACGAACCAACCAGGTATAAGATAACAGGTCTCAGATTTTAGAGCAAAATTCACCCATCCATTTGGCTAAATAAAGTCTTAGTATTGTAGCTAATGTCAGTCCGTGATGAAAACCTTAAATGTAATTCCTAACCTTAACCACCAAATGTAAATCTTAATTTTAATTCCTCACACTGGTTTATAACCCTCATTTGATCCTAGTTATTAGGCGAAGACTCTCAAGGTCACTTTAGCGTCGCTCAAATGTCATCAATAAATAATAGCCTCATCGCATTATCCATTTAGCTACTGAGTCCTGATAGCCACTTGCTTATGCATGTTGGTTAGACGCCAACTGTTCTGTGAGTGATGTTATTCCATGATTGAAATCAACTCTAATCTTTGTATCAATTCTCATGTCATAATATTTATTTGTAAATAATTTTTCTCAGATTGTATATTTGATCTCTATATTAGCGAGCATCATATAGATGACTAGTGTTTACACATTAAGATGTCTTGACTCAATTTGGTTAATGAATAAATTGATCGTTGAGTAAATAACAAATATCAATGTATTGAATGAAGAGATTGATCTAATATAAAACTCTGTGTTTCTAATGCCAGTACCAAATGAACGAAATTTAAATCAATGGGAGAATAGAAGTAGAATGAATTATACTACTATATTCGTTTAACAACGCTAAAATTCTCAAATCTGTTCAAAATGTAGTTTAATTTCTATGAATGGATCAGTTAGTGAAAATTGCATGAATGTATTGTATTGAGATTATGAATAAAATGATTAATTATTTACAGTAAGTATTGATTACTTTAATATAAAATCCATAGAAAATGTATCTAATTGAACAATTTTCTGATTCTATTCCATTTTCATTAATTAAGCATGCATAATACTTGGCTGGATTTATGCTTTTCTTTTTCTAGCTTCCGCTTAATCTTTATTTTCATTTATTTTCTGATTCAAGTGTTTCTCTTGATATTTCTACATTGCAAATGAAAAATGTTATGCATAGAGTAAAATGGATTTATTCTTATCTTTATAAGGCTTTTCAATTCAAACCTATGACAGATAATCTGGTTAAAAATAAAGATTTAATATAATGAGTTGAGATGAATTTTAGTGAAAGTGACAGGAGTTTTATAGTTAAAGTTGAAAGGTCTTGAAATAAAATGATTACTTCTATCTTATTCTTGAAATTTTATCATTTCTCTGGATCTCTCGTTTCTATATTTTTCTCTTATTTCATAAGTACACTATCATTTATTGATCTTGAAAAAAAGTGATTTATGATTAAATGTAATTCATTTACACAGAACTCTACACCTTCAAACTAGCGAATTGTTAAAAAATAGAAAAAAATTGTTTCTATGGTAAATAACTCTTAATCATTTGCTATAAAAAGAATTTTCAGATATTCTAAAAAAGAAAGGGATTATTAGATTACTTAAAGTTTAAATTGATTATCTTTTAGCATGATTAAATATGATCGGGCTTAAGTGTGCTCATCGATATTTTACTACCGTAAATTTGTATCAAATAATGTTCCTTTTTTAAAAAGTTAATCATTTACAGATCCGTTCCGGTATATGAAATACTATTAGTCAAAATGTAACTAATGACATTAAAGTGGTTCATTTAAATAATTTGTAAATTTTCATTTCAGTTAAACTGAGCCATTTAACAATAGGTTGATGATAATAAAGACTATATTCGAATTATGCTTGAATGAAGTAAATTTGCTACTAAGTAGTCTATAGATTCAAGATTTAATAAAATTATTTCTAATAAATAAATAAATACTTCAAAGATGTACTCTTACCCATACTGATCATTAGCATTTATGACGAAAACCCTTTGAAATAGTTCAATCAATCAGAGAGCTTATTTTTGATTACGATTTTTACCATGATAAACGTATTTTACTGAACAATCACTACTTTTCAATAAACATTAAAAAAATAGAAAATTTTCAGCTGATTGACATGTATTGTTCTTAATCAAACTGAAAAGAAACAATATGTAATTGCAGTCGTTTACATTTATAAATTGAGATGTGCACACAATGACACGTTAAGTGAATACACAGTGACCATAAGACTAATATGCTGATAAGTGATTCTAATAGATAAATCTTTAATCTAATACATTCTGATTACTAATTCTTTTATTTATTTAAATATGTTGTTCTATGCTAGGTAGCGCATGCAGTTTGAGTATTTACTTATACCTGGAACAGTTAGTAGAAGAAA